AACAAAAAATATATGGTTAAAAGCAAAAAATAAAATAATTAAAAAATCAAAAATATTTTAAGGAGTCAGTAGGGTAATTTGTTTTTCATAGAAATGTTTATTCTACAATTGAACTTTTTTCACATACCATGAGGTATATCGTGGTGTGTATAAACAAATTTCTTCGCACTTTTTTGATGACATCTGTCGGAGAAATGGCTGGGTGAATGAGATGCGCTTTTTCACTGGCGGACACGGTTTCTCATGTTTGGTTCATCTGAAATACAAAAAATGCAATTCATTCTTCAAAAGTATGTGAATGATTTTCGCCCCTACTAAAATCATGAACAAATTTTGATAAACAAAAGAGTACTTAACTTTTCTTTTTCAAATTTCACAATTTTTTTTTTTTTACATCATATATGCCATAACAGTGTCAGTAAATTATAAAAAATATACGGACGATAGCCCGGCGTTTTGTGAACATTTAAAAAAAAAACCTTTAGCAAAACGGTCCCTAATCATGTCCACCAGTTTAAAAAAATGTGTTTTGAGAAAAACTCGTTTTGAGGTGTGCACTCCGAGCGCTCCGAATGTCGAGCCTTTTTGGCCCTCTTTTAAAATCTTTCAGTGTTAAAGTGAGTTTCTACATTAATTCTAAGGGTATAAGGGAACAGAAAATGCAAGAAAAAAAAGAAAAAAATTTTTTGAAAAAAGATTACCCTACTGACCCCTTAATAAATTATCTTTCTTATTAATTTCTAGCATTCTAAAAATTTCTACAAAAAAAAATTTATAACTATAATTAGCACAGCTTTTTGGTTAACTGCAAGTTCATTTTTTGCTTAAAATGTTAAAACTACAGTCAAAAATTACAATTGAAATTGATTCCGATCGTTCAGTTTGTATGGCAGCTATATGTTATAGTGGTCCGATATCGGCAGTTCCGACAAGTGAGCAGCTTCTTGGAGAGAAAATTATATTTGCTAAATTTCAAAATGATATCTTAAAAACTGAATGAATATTATTTATATAAAGACGGACGGATAGACAGACAGACGGACAGACAGGCAGACGGATATGGCTAAATCGACGCAGCTCAAAATACTGATCATTTATATATATACTTTATGGGGTCTCCGACGTTTCYTTCTGGGTGTTACAAATTTCGTCACAAACTTAATATTCCCTGTTGAGAGTATAAAGAGCTTTACAGCATATAGCAGAGCGCATATGCTACGATGTAAGTACTTTACGTCCCAAAAATTGTTCAATCCCATCAAATATAAGAGAACCACTATCATGTTTTTGTGTAATCGTTCATTCAAGAGGGTACTCGCGTGAGTTATGTATGCCTGCCCTAATAGTTGTAATTTGAAGCCAACCGTGTAGAAAATTATATGTATAGAATAATATGTAGCTTAAGGAGTCTTAAGTTTTGATTTGAATAAACAGTTAAAAAACAGAAATCAGACAGTAAAGTAATGCTGTTGAGAGYTTAGAATCTATGCGTTTAGCCCTACAAACATAACTCGTGCGATCAGGCTGTTGAAATGTTGATCCTGCAAGTCTACAGGTGGAGTGTTTGTTTAGCTCAATGCAAAATGGTGCGCAAAACATTTGTAATATTCTTTTGCCTGTTTTATTTCGGTAAGGGCATGAATTTCGAGTTCAATGCGAATTTTGTAATTATTTCTTTTAGTTTCAATAGCGAATACCAGCAAAATAAGTTATCTTTTCATGTGGCGAGAAGATGCATGTTCTTCTATATGGGACCGCCCGCGTCATACTTCATTGGTGCCCCCTAGTGAAATTCAATTCGAGAATTGTACATATWCTGGTAGCCGACATCACGTCATACCATTTGAGATTCTGCGTAATTTTTTTAATTCTGCCTTGCGACAAGCCAGTGAAGCGTCGCGCGTCGCACGATACTTAGCAGCATAYATTTTTTCAATAGCGGAACAATATATTGCCAATGGTGAATCTATACAGCATCAAAATCCGATAGCTATAGACGTTCCAGTGGTGATCGTCATTGATCCATTGGAAGAAATGTTTGCAGCACTTACATGGTTACCCGGAAATATATTTATAGGGCCACCAGCGAATATTCGTCACCATGACAATCCCCAGAATCAGAGTGGCGGAGATCCCGGTAACGCATTCGAGCAGTACGCAAATAGAATAATCAGGGACGACACACACTTTACTGCTCTACAAAATCTCAATCGCGATATGCGACTTTATATGAATAATACTTCAGATGTAAATTTGTTTCATCAAATAATGACCAATTTAGATATTGTCAACAGAAGAACTACACCTTTTCCATTCGATGCACAGGATTGGGAAATAGTTAATGGAAAGTTTTACATTCGCGACAAACATAGAGAGAAACGATCTAAAAACCAAATCCCACAACCGCCAATCGCATACAACAYGGAGCCATCAACTAATGATGATCCYTTCGATTATTATGTTGGATTCTGTAGARCGGTAAAGCGAAAATTAACGGCCAGTCATTTTTCGTCGATCAATAAAAAGTACATAGAAGTGGGCGAAAGGATGACATTTGATTGTCACAAAAATACCTTCATTATAGTAAAACAAGCCACCTTAGGTACCATGCCTTGGCCACTCATTGCTTTCTCGTTGGGGCTAGCATGTCTCAGCGGTGACTGCGTAGAGCGAGACGGAACCGAAGGAATAAAAAAGTTGTGTGACAACAAGAGGTCATGCCAATTTTCTTATAGAGACACAGACGGTTTGGGTGTAGATGTGGAATATTACTGTGCGGACGTATTGACACCTCTAAGAGAAAGAGAAGAATTACAGGTAAAAGTAACAAAGCATAGAAAAGTATAATTTACCAWTTTTTTTTATTTTTTGTCAGAGACCTTATCGCTTTAGTTCGAGCGAATTTGAACTTAACTGCCCCTTGGATTATACAATTCGTATTAGTAAAGCAATAAGACGCTATTCGGGTATTTTTCTGCATTGTGCTATTGATGATTGCACAGAAAMGGATATTACACCAATTTTGCGTGAAAAATGCGACGGAGAAAATCCATGCAAAAACACACTCGACGATTGGGGCTTRCAACCAATAACCGTAGATTTTTCTTGCATACCAAATCCATCCATGTTTGTGTGAATGATTGAATGTTTACGAATATAATATTGGGTAAAAGTTGCTAAATCGGAAATATGAAATTTGGGCTATAAGCGTTACACCAATGGAGACACCAGTTTCTACACTCCAACCATTGTACTATTTTCAAATATAAAATAATCTTCAAAGATTATATTAAAACATATATTTAACCGATTAAATGATGTTTTCAGAATGTAAAACCTTTCAAATATACTGTGAGCAAAAAATATTAAGATTTTTTAATTTAAATTTCGCACGAAAACACATTCGTCGAAATATGTTCTTTTTCTACGTTTATATGTAYGTCAGCGACACTCTGTGCCAAATGTCACATCAAAATAATCATTGGTGCTTMGTAAACGCTTGGCTTTCGGAAGTGCATAAAATGCAAGAAATTAATTCCGTTAAATTTGTATGCGGAATCAAATTTCTGGTGCCAAAACATTCAGAATATTGAAAAAGGCCTCCGGTGGTAATTGCTTGTCGCGAGCAAGTGTTTCTGATTGGTACAAATTATTCAAAAAGCGTCTAGAGCGAGAGCGTCAACATCCACCTTTGATCAGCACGCCAATAAAATAAATGAAATGGTGTTAAGAATCAGAGATCTTACTGGCATCGTAGAAATAACGAAAASATCAGTGAAAACCATTTTGAATGACCATTTGGGTCGATGAAAAGTGAAAGCACTATTGGTTCCCAAATTCCTCAATTTTTTCGAAGAACAATTTCGCGTTAACGTCTGTGAAAAAATGCTTTCCGACTACCAATATGTCATTAAATATATTATTACTGGCCATGATTCTTGCATCTATGCTTGGACCCGGAAACGGAGCATCAATCGGCCGAATATCGTGCYAAAWGTGCGCCGRAGTCAAAAAACTACGTCGAATTGGAAAAAACGTTGGCACAAAAGTATTGTGGCMAAGGGGGATTTGTTTCAGGGAGACGACATAGAATTTAAATGATAAATTAAGGTTAAGATATCTTAACAAAACTTGCTCCACATGTTCCTGCTGCCTCTGTGCGAACGTCAACTGAGAACTGCTTAACCGACATCGTAACTTTCTCTCAGAGAACGTCTATCATAGAGAAGGTTCACGTTTCAAATATCGTAACTTTTCGAAGGTATGTATGTTCTCTGTTCATAACATTGTTGAGATCGGTTAACTATAGCATATAGCTGTCATACAAACTGAACGATTGGAAAAAAGTTCTTGTATGGAAAACTTTTGCATTTGACAAGATATATTCACGAAATTTAGTACAGATTATTTACGAAAGCAACAATGTTATCTCCGAAGAAATTATTGAAATCGGCTTACTATAGCATACAGCTGCCATACAAACTGAACGATTGGAAAAAAGTTCTTGTATGGAAAACTTTTGCATTTGACAAGATATATTCACGAAATTTGGYACAGATTATTYTCKAAGGCAACAATGTAATCTCCGAAGAAATTGTTCAGATCGGTTAACTATAGCATATAGCTGTCATACAAACTGAACGATTGGAAAAAAGTTCTTGTATGGAAAACTTTTGCATTTGACAAGATATATTCACGAAATTTGGYACAGATTATTYTCKAAGGCAACAATGTAATCTCCGAAGAAATTGTTCAGATCGGTTAACTATAGCATATAGCTGTCATACAAACTGAACGATTGGAAAAAAGTTCTTGTATGGAAAACTTTTGCATTTGACAAGTCTAGATGTGTATAAGAGACAGGAAGGGCGTATTAACTACGGTGCAACAGTAAACGTTTTTTTTTTTTTTTTGTTGATAAATAAAATAGATTTGCTGTGTTAACTCATACACTTGTATTTGTTTTATTATTAGCAAACATCATCACGCTTAAAATTACCAGGCTAGTATAGTAGGTAATTGTATATTTAAGGTATTTATGTATATTTACGTGTATATTCATTTATTTAAGTTAGGCTTTTAGGTAATTATTATTACATATTATTTTAGTTTGTTTAAATGTACGTATATATGTATGTATGTTATATGCTATTTGTATGTAAAATTTTTGTTATTTTAAAATTGATTTAGCATTTTTTGTTGTTTGCATTGTATATACAGGCATTTTTCATGTGTTTAAAGACAATTATATTTAGATATATGTATGTATATATGTATGTGTTTGTGTATATGTAAATTAGAGAGTAATTAAATTAAATTAAGTTAAAATATATATTAGAGCACTTATATGATAAGAATTAGTAGCTTGGCGTACAGTTAAGGCAACTAAAGCGTACAAACATGTACGCATGCGCGTTCAATTTCCATTTTCTCAGCTAAGCAACTATGTTGAAATAGTATTGCAGCATCATCATACAATTAAAAAAAAATTATTAAACTATTACAAATGTAGTTAAGTAAAAGTTGTATTCACGCGGAATTGCTAGTAATTAATATGTAGTGTATATATAAATATATAGGTATATCTATAGCTTATATGCATAGTATATGTAGTTCGAAAAAATTCTGCTGCCCATATTTCTTTGTTTGTTTGTAGGTACTTGACGTAGGCGTGTGTGTGGTAAACTGCGCTTAGAGACTGCGAACGTGTTGTTGTTGCGTTTTGTGCATTTATTTTATTTTATTTTTCTTTTTTTGATACAACACTTCAATCATAACGACTGCCACGCGAGTTGCACGCTTTTATCTTGTCCACAGTACATTCCAAAGCTGCCTTCAAATCGCTAAAAACAGGCACACCCTGACGTTTGGCCAAATCGATAAGATACGAACGACCGCGATTGTAATCCTTAATAGCAGCTGGCGTGAGCTATAGTAGGAAAAGTAGAAAAAAAAAATTAATTAAGTTAATAATTTTCAGTAGAAACCAAAAACAAATATATAATATTATATAAATATGTACTACACACCTTCTCATTGTTGATTACACAATCGTCGGGCAACATTTGCACGGCCAACACCACATTGTACATCAAGCCGATGCARTGCGCCGCCAGCGTCATGGGCGCCAACGAACGCGTCTCATTCGTGATGATGAACAACAACACGCGACTGGCATCCAGCAACGATGGATTGTAGAGACTCGGACGCATCGGTGGCAACGCCCAGCTGTAGGTCTCCTCCGACACGGTCAGYTCTTCCTCCTCCTCTTCTTCCAAAGCGGCGCCACGATATTTTCGACGTGTACGCTTTAGTGACTTCTCCTGTGCGGCGCCCAATTGACGTGCATCCTCGTACACTTTATCCGGCAAGCTGCTGTCCAGCTGTGTTGCTTGCAAACTCTCATGCAGCGCGGGTAGATGGAAGGTGACACCTTTTGTCTTCAAATACGGCATAGCGATGTCTTGACGCCATTTGGTGCGCAAAAAGCAACTGCCMCCAAGGTAGACATCACGGAAATCGGTGCCAGCGAARGTTAAGAACTCATTATTGCCACCATAATTGCAATTGACGGAATTAATGGAACTGCTGGATGAGAATACCGAATCATTCGAATCGCTCTCCTCCTCCGCTGTTACGCTGCCATCCGGATAGGTTGAGTGCAGCTGTGCGGCGYTGGCGTTCAATTGTRCCAGCGGATAWGCGGCTGTTGAGTGTGCGCTCAATATWGGATAAGCTGTGGCGGTAGTGGTAGAAGTATTAGGTGGTGTTGTTGGTGTATGAGCAGTTTGTATAGTTGTTGTGATTTCGGTTGTTTCTATAGATTCGATGTTGACAAGAATTTTTGTTTTTGCTTTACCTAACTGTGCGGCCGAGCGTGATTTCATCGGTTGATCTAACGGTTGCGGTGAAGAGGTGCCACTATCACGATTGCGACTCAACAAATCCGTGCTGCTGGGACGTTCATCGCTGCCGGGTACACTAGTTTGACTGGAGGTGCGTGAAATATTTTTACTGGTGAAATAGCTGATAGCGAAATTGCTTTCGTCACCTGCGAAAG